CAGGAAAGTTTTTTTTCTTGCTTTTGTTTGTATGTGTTGTTTTTTTTAAGAAAAAGAATAAAAATATATATTAAAAATAATAGTACGTCATCATCTTGTTGTCCCTATAAATCTGCTTTGATACATTAATACTTTCTCCCAAAAAGGTACAAAAAGGTGACCACAGGGCCACATCATGAAGGTCAGTGAACTCCCCCTTTATTTATTTATATACCGTATGGTACCCAGCTTAGATTCATTGCTTTTTAAGCAGCCAGATGAAAACTCCTATTTCCAGTTAGGTCAATTGCCCCCCCTCAGAGAGGGTTCACAATTTGGGGGTCCTCCTGGACCCACAGCTGACCTTGGAACACCACCTGTCGGCTGTGACCGGGGGGGGCCTTTGCCCAGGTTCGCCTGGTGCACCAATTGCGGCCCTATTTGGACTGGGAGGCACTTCAGACAGTCACTCATGCCCTCGTCATCTCAATACTGGATTACTGTAATGCGCTCTACTTGGGGCTGCCCCTGAAAAGTGTTCGGAGACTGCAATTAGTCCAGAATGCAGCCACGTGAGCAATACTGGGTGTGCCAAGGTACACCCACATCACATCTATCCTCCGCGAGCTGCACTGGCTGCTGATTGGTCTCCAAACATGATTCAAGGTGTTGGTTATCACCTTTAAAGCCCTACAAGGCCTAGGACCGGGTACCTATGAGACCGTCTTCTGCCACATACCTCCCTTAGACCAATAAGATCGCACAGGCTGAGCCTTCTCTGGGTGCCTTCAGTGGGACAATGCCGACTGGCGGCGCCTAGGAGTAGGGCCTTCTCTGTTGCCGCTCTGGCCCTATGGAATGAACTGCCCCCAGAGATCCGGGCCCTCCCCACTCTCATGGCCTTTCGCAAGGCCATTAAAACCTGGCTTTTCCAGCAGGCCTTCTGATTGGGTGTTTGTTGTGTTCCTTTTTTAACTTTGTATGTTCTATTGTTTTTAAATTCTTTTAATCTCTTTCATTTCTGTAAGCCGCCCGGAGTCCTTCGGGATTGGGCAGCATAGAAATTCAATAAATTCAATTCAATTCAATTCAATTCAATTTCCCATTCATCTGTTGGTACATATCAAATAATACTCTCATAATTTATATTTAATTCTTTTTTAATTGAATCCTTACTATTCAAAATGTATTACAGTTTAAATTAATTAGTATACAAAGTAACAGATAATCCACACCTCGCATATATTCTCCACATAAAAAATTCTGCTAAATTAATTAACATCAATTACTAATCCTCATTCAACTATTTTCAAATAATCATTTCTCCATCATCTGTTGGTACATCTCAAACAGTATCCTCATAATTTACATTTAATTATCTTTTAATTAAATCCTAAAGGCAGTCATCTTTTTCAAGAGTGAGATGAGATGAAGACTCCTCATTTCAGAGTTGAAATGAGGGGGTCTTTTGTGCTCTCTGGTCTCGGTTGTTTTCTTCATCATAAAATAAGATGGCTATCCTCCTTTGTATTTATCTGCTAAATTTTGGTGAGGTAGAATCCAAAAAAAGAATCTGAAAAGAACTGCTTGATCACCTGTAAGAAAAATATTTCACATGGAAAAGGGAGAAGATGGTCAAAGAGCTACTTACAATAATTTCCAATGCATGTTCCTCATTCAGTGCATTCTACAAAGGAAACAAAGGATAAGCTCAATTCTCACATGGGAACATATATGACTTTTCCAACCATGCTGTTTCTGCCATCTCATATATCTTAAAATTGAATGTCTTCATTCTACAGATAGCAAACATTTGAGACCAAACAGAAAACATGAATTAATCATATTATGTTCTTTTCTTTCTCTTTCAATGCTTTCCTTTCACACAACCACAATATGAAAAGATGAGGTTATTTGTAGCTCAGAGTTGAAATGAGGGGTCTGTGGTGCTCTCTGGTCTCTGTTGTTTTCTTGCAGAAGTTTCATTACCCACATTAGATAACATTGATAATGTTACATAGTTTGGGTAATGAAACATCAGCAAGAAAACAACCAAACTCAGAGCGCACCAAAGACCCCTTGCAATTACAATATGAACAGAGAAACCTGAATCAAAATGCTTGAATTTATACATGAACACAAAAGAAGGTTTGAGAGAGAAGCGGTGCTTTGATAGACATGTCTCTTGGGGTTAAAACTCTTCCTGGAATATCCACTATGTGTCTTCATTTCATAGGTGAATCTAGATTTCCACTAGATATCTAACCATGTCACTAAAAACTCTAACAGCTGCATTGAGCCACCGTGGTGCAGTAGTTAGAGTGCAGTATTGGAGGCTACTTCTGCTGACAGTGGGCTGACTCCAATTTAACAGTTTGAATCTCACCAGGATCAAGATTGACTCAGCCTTCCATCATTCTGAGGTGGTTCAAATGAGGACCCAAATTGTTGGGGGAATAGGCTAACTCTTAGAAAGGGCTGTAAACAGGGGTGGGTTGATGATGGCATTACTGCTGGTTTGGTGCATGTGCAATTTCTGAGTGAAGGAGAATAAAGGAGGACCTTCTTCAGACACAATAAGGAATTCAATAAGGAAGAAGATACATCAAAGCTACTTACCATGCATTCAGCTAGAGGACCGTGTTTAATGAATGCCTTCTGCAAAGGAAACAAAGGGGATCAGTTCTATTCTGACAAGGTAATTATCACTACATGTCTATGGAGATTCTCAGTCATGCAGGTGATGGTTGTCCCAAAGGTGAAGTTCAGATCTGAAGAAACCTCTTGCATGAGAAACGAAACCTCTTCAAGGAAAAAGAAAGAAAGTCCAGTTGCCTCTTGAAAAAGAACCTTTGAGATAATTATCACTAACTATTACTATACCATCACAGGTAACTTCAATTCCCTATGTCATTTTCAACTATATCTTTCATTCTCCAGATAGCAGTTATGCCTTTCTAATCCCAAATGGAGCGATAAAGCCTAAAAGACACACAAATTAGCAGTCAGAGTCTTGATATTGTGAGCAAACAATTTTTGTGCTTTTTTTTCCTCTTAAAAGAGACATGATTGTGCAGCTCTTCTAAAAGTTTCCTGACATCCTCATTTAATCCTTTCTCCTAAGTTACAGGGGAGACCTATGAAACCAGACTTTTTCCTATTCCAACAATATTCAAAAGGATGCCCTCTGTTAAACTCTCCTAAGAGCTTATAAATTCCTGCTCAAGAGAGCTGATCTGGTCATATCTAAGAAGGATAGACATAGAAAAAATTAGAGACCTTAAGTGTGAATCTACTTACTATTGATTTATATATCAGTTTATGACCATTTGATATTCTTTTAAAAACAGCTAACATCTTCTGCATGACGTCCTGCAAGGAAGGAAAAAAAAATGTTATCCTCTTTTATAGATTCCTTCATAAATACACTGTGCCAGTGCATAATATTGAGGCAGGAGGGGGTGCACAGGTAAGCCCACCAGATGGCTGGACAGGTTAGGTTGTCCTAATAGGCTGAAAACTATAAATTCATATTAGCTTGACATTTCACTCTAGTCCACTTTGACTTTTTAACTTCCTCCTAAGTCTTACAAATATTATGGGAACATGTTGCAAGCTTCTGCACAAGGATGGCACACAGAAGTAATGTGGGTATAGAATAACTCAAAATAGCCAAATGACAAAATAATGTGGGCATCCTCTCAGCACTTTTTCTGTCTTGTTTTTATGACTATCAGGATTCACTTCTGTATTGTAACTTTTGACTTCTCCATTGTATTTTTCCAAAATGTATTTCCCTGTCCTAAGCAGGGGGCTTGGACATTCAAAATGTATACGCCTATTGTAACGCCTACTGATTTACAAAGTTTGATTAAAAAGTATAAAATCACTGTCCAGGGTGTAGCCCAGGCAGTTCAGTTTTTGGTGTGCAACACTCTGAACTCT